AGCTCAGCTCAGGCTGGGAATTGAACTGCTGTTGCTCAGAGCTCGCATTCTTCAACGAGCCCTTAACCAACTGAGCCACTCAGCTGGCCTTTTGTTAAATAAAATTAACAAAGGGCAAATAAAACTACAAATGTGCACAAGATTACAGTAATTTATATATGATGTACAGAAACAAAAAATGTATTTTTAGCTTCAAGTTCCACTAAAATAATTACTATAGTTATAAACATTCCAAAGTTTCTTTAAAATGTCCTTTCTCCTTATCTAAATATGTAGCATCTTGTGAGACAGTTTCAATCACCTTGTCATTCTAATAATTAGACATCAGCCAGCTTATTTTTGGCAAGACAGATGAGTTAATAAGCATTTGATATTTAATGTCTGAGTCAAACCACTGATTTTTAAATTTCAGAATTCTTCATCTCAACTAACTAACCTCAAAAACCTCTCAAGTGTAAATAAAAACTGCACTGAAAATAAAGTGAGGACATGCCTGATTGGAGATGCGACCACACCTCTGAAGGTCATTGCCTAAGGTCATGGCAATTGTTGTGGCGATTGCAGGTGGGGGGCTTGTCTTTAGGCTATTACAAGTACAGATAAGTTGAGAGAAGGCTTGTAGAAGGTCAATCCTGAGTTTTACAAATTCACACTGAAAACTCAGGGGATTCAGTGGTGTGCTGGCAGCCTGAAAAAAAAAAAGAAGATATATTTAAGACAAAATAAACAAAGGAAGATGGTGCAGTACATGAATGAATTTTAAAGGCATGGTAATGTACTATCTCCTAAACTGCATGCTAGGTATAATTGGGTATTTGTTGAATTTTTAAATATACCCTACATAATATATATGTAAATATTATGCCTATTTAATATTCAATAAAAACAAAAAAAATACATTAAAAATCACCACTACTGTAGGCAGAATGCTAAAATGATCCCTCTGATTCACAGCCCAGCATCCACACCTCGTGGGTCCCCTCCCTGAGTGTGGGCAGAGCCTGTCACTTGCATCTAACTAATGGAATGTGGCAAAGGTGACAGATTTTGAGGATATAATTTAGGTTCCTAATGAAGTGACTTCATATTCATCACAAGGGAGATTATTCTGGGTGGATTTCTCCTAATCCCATGAGCCCATTCAAAGAGGGTCTTAAAAGTGACAGAGTCTCCTGTTGCCTTGAAGCTTCCTTAAGTTCTACAGCCACGAGGAAATGAATTCTACCAACAACTACACGAGTTTAGAAGAGGACCCTGGGCCTCCTTGAGTCTCAGACAAGACTGGCCCTGGGTGACACTTTGATTACCGCCTTGTGACAATATGAGCAGAGGACCCAGCTAAGCCACGCCTGAACTTCTGACTCGTGGTAACTAAATTTGTGGTAATTGTTACACAGCACAGAAAACAAATACAAACACTTTTTACATTTTTTATTCCTAAGAAGCAAGATGACTATCATTAATCACTGTGTTGGGAAATTAAGACACCCAATGTTGCTACATGGTCCCCATAAGCACAGAATTTTGAAATCCTGTTTAGTTTGGTTGAAGCAGGTAGAAAAAAAGCATCATCCTCATAGCTGTACAATCTTAGGTTAGAGCATTCATGTGTCAGGGAGTAAAAGGGCAGTTCCTGCTCATATCCTCTCAGTTAAAAATGACAGAAAGCTACTGTCCAATTCATACTTGCCAAATGAACAGATTAAAACTAAAACCTTAAAAAACAATGCTGATAATACAGTCAGAAATGCTGGAAGTTCCAAATGACTCTAAGGATCACACTGCCTTCCTCCCTAGACTATTCTAAAATGGAGACTCATTTCCTAACTTTTTTTTACCCACAAGCACTGTCTGGCACGTAGCACGTGCTTACAGTCTGTTGAATAAAAGAACTCCGCTGCAAAAGATGATTTGAGGCCCAATCACCTGACTTAGGTCACAGTGTGCAGAGTGGAGTCTAAGACAAGGGCCTACTGTCTGTCAGAATTCGGTCCTTAATTACTGCCAAGCCTAATTAAACACACATACCACACAAATCATTAAAAGACCATTAAATAGTCAACAGGGTTTTTCATAATATTAATTCTATCTGCCTCAGTTTTGTGAGCCTGTTTGTTTCAGTTTTTAGCATGTTCTATACTGAACGATGAACAATTTTCTGCTCCACATAAACTAGAAAATGAAATAATTGTACTGATCAGAACCAATAACTGCAACTTTTGATTTTCGGAGGCATTTATTAGCCTGATATAGGCAAGAACAATCTTTTCCTAAAATAATGAAAAGGAAAGAATCATAGTAGTCAGTGCTACCCTTTTTAAAGTGGAGAGGAGCCACTCCTATATTCATGTTAAGACAGCCATCAATCCTAGCCAAAAAATCATAATTCAAAAGATATGTACCCACAGTAGTCTGAATATTCTGTCTCTTTTGTGACATCTGTTTATTCTTTGTTCTCTTTGAAGCATTTCTTTTGGGATGGCGCACCAATAAAAATATTTTAGATTAGGGCCGGCTGAGTGGCGCGATGGTTAAGAACTGGCTTGGGACGCCAGAGGGCCCCGGTTCGGATCCCACATATGCGGGCCAGTGACACTGCCCTCTACAGCTAAGATGCTGAATAACAGCTCAACCTGGAGCTGGGCTGCCATGAGTCGCCGGCGATGGCGTAGGCTGCAGCCCCTGTGGCACTGGGTTGCCATGGGCTACCGTGTGTAGCCAGCAGCCAGCGTGAGCGGCCCTCAAGCCGCTGTGAGCGGCTGTCCAGAAGCTGGCGACTGATCTGCCTCATCCGGAAAGAGCGCAATGATGGTGCCAACTTGGGCCAGTGAAGCAACGTCCTCCACAACTAGACTGAAGAACAAAAAGACAGCAACTTGTCTGTTCCCCTTCCCCCAATTCCCCAGCACTGTTCCCATCCCCCAATTCCCCAATTAAAAAAAAAAATCTTTAAAAAAAAATAATTTTAGATTATGTGATAAATGTGTATAAACAGGTACCAAAAGCTCTATGGTCCCATCTAAATATATACAATTTTAAAAGTTGTGTGACAACAGTTAAAAAATGCTTAATGTTGATTTTATAAACTCTACTCTTAAGGGGGAAAAGTCCTTGCATTCATACAGAAAACGCTCATTTTAGGGAACAAGTATTTATTTAGGAGTACAACTGACTTGAAGGAAATATACTTTCTTGGCAGAGAAAATGGAAAGGTTAGAATTTGGAATAGGAGGCTATCACGGAGGTGTAAAAAGTGGGACACTAGCATCCCTGATAATTTTTTCTTTATCCACAAAGCAAGAAACCTAGCTTTTTATTGAGTTGCTGCCAAGTATGAGATGGGCAGGGGGTTATGTTTGATGGTGGTAATAACTCAGGCTGTGATCTTACTAATAGGATTCTGGAAAGGGAGGTTCCTAGTGCTACTTATCCTTACTGCATGGATTCAACAATCCTCTCATATGTGGTTCCTGGTACTTGATAAAACCAAAGTGATAAACTTTCATCAACCTGTGAATGTTAAAAAGTGGGGGAGGGGTTAGGGATTTATTTCTGTGTCATATTTATGACTTTAATATTGCCAAATATATATCAGCAGATTTTTCAAGGTAGTTAAAATAGGCTAATAAAAAGGGAAGGGAGACTATTCTCACACGTTATCATCACCAAAGGAGAATTAAGAACACTTACTGTTAAGGACGCAATTCCTTTGTGGTAGAATTTTAAACACTCAGCAATGCAAGAAAGTGCTGAACTGTAATTCTCCTCTTGCAACCCGGTGAGACACTGCTCTGCATGTGAGAACTCCTTCAAACTATTCAGCCAGAAGTAGAAATGTTCTGATGCAACCTGAGTCAGCAAACTCTGATAAAGCTCTCTGGCCATGTCATGATTACCCTAAAAAAAAATGATGGCACATGATGACGTTGTTACACTTGAAATAGTTGACATAGCAGCTAAAAGACAAATCTTGGATAAGCTTTAGTCATCATTCCTCATATTATATAATTCTTTGACACTCAGTTCAAGTATTTCCTCAGAGAAAATAGGCTGAGCTGCTTTTATATAACCTAATGCCTGCAGTTCTTTACTAAAACAGTTCCAAAGAGAAAAGGAGTGGAATTAACTATAAACCCGAGTCTTGAATTTTAGTTCAAAATACAGAAAGTATAAATACTTAGATTGTCATGTTAGTGGAGTAGGGGGGAAGCCAGGAAGTTCCAGCCAGTGACTATAAGGAGGAGTGCTGTACGTGCCTCTAGAAATAACTGGGGAGAAGGATAATTGTTGGGGGGACTGTGAATGCCGTTTAACACCTGGGGACAGGGATGCTCAATGTCCTGCAGTGTTCAGATGCTTGGGACAGCTGGGTATAATAAAGAACTGTCCTGTCAACAGCGGTCCTCCTCTCATTTGAGAAACACTTAAAAGGGAAGGTGTACTTTAATCACCCCGAATGATGCTTCTCCAGCTTTGCTCTCTGAACTTATCTCCAGAGGATTTCTATACTACATAAGCTCTATATTCCCTCTCAAACAAAATTAATGAACATTGTTAGGCTTTCCATATGGCTGAGAAGGGAACAGAATACTAACCTTGCCCGTTTTCCGATAAGAAGGATAAGGTTGGAGAGAGAAAGGGAATAGAGATGCGGTGTATTGATGAAGGAAGATAGAAATGATGGGTGGGAGGCGGCTGTGGCTATGAGTACAGGGCAAAATGAAAGTGGTGCTAACAACTTCATGGAATTCCTGTGCGACTTCCCCGTAACAACATATGTGCCATTCTTACAAGAGAAGAGTTAAAAACCAGGTCCTTTCTTTCATTATCTTTCAATCCCGTGGCTGAGAAGTACTTGCATCTTTATGTTCAGTTTTGACTCGGAGTATAACAATCACACAACCTAAGGGTGGTACCCTGTCGTTTTCACCAACCCCGTTCACACAGGAGGACCGCACATACCATTCTGGACGCCTGTCTGGCAATGCGATACACAGTCCACCCATTGGAGACACTTTCAAGCTGCTGCTTAATTACTGTCTTCACTTCAGCAGATAGGGCTTTCTGACTGGCGACAAAAATCACAGTGGCCAAACTCACCTAACAGTGAGCAAGAAGACAGTAAGAAGAATCATGTAATTTTAGTCAATGTCATAACTTTATCCAAGAAGGAGAAAAACTACTTAGAGCTCATCAAAAAAGAACAAAATTTGTTCTCCTTTGACATTTGATTTTTCACTTTGAAGTCATTAAGCAATTTATTCCACTGCTCAGAGCATTGTTTGTAATAGCAAATGATTAGAAACAATGCTCATAAATATGGATAAATAAATGATAAAATCACACAATATTATCTAGCAATGAAATGGGTCAACTAGAGATATACTTATCACTATAGATGATTCACACAAAAGAGGCAAAATAAGGAAACATTACATGTAGTATGATAGCATTTATATAAAGTTAAAAATATGCAAAATGACTGCATATTATGCAGGATATATACTAAGGTAGTAAATGTATAACATGCAGGGGACTGATAAACACCAAATTCAGGATAGTGGTTACCTCTGGGAGAAGGGAAGTATACACGGAGGTACCCCTATTCAAGTATATTGGTAATATTTTTTTCTTAAGCTACGTGATGGATGCAACAGTTTTCATTGTATTATTCTTTACACTTTTTGAATATTATGTTTCCTAATTTAAAAATGCCTTAAAGTAGTACTAACAAAAAAAGGGATAAAGAAAATTAGTTGAAAATGCTGCTTCAATAAAAAATAAACTTGGCTGTTTCTTAGTGTCCCAAAGTTGATACATACAAAGGTCTATATATATTGTGATAACTATATGATGTCATTCCCATCACCACTGCCACTTGGTCACCAGAGTAAACCCTTTCCTGATAGGTAATGATGACATGGGACAATCTTTTACACAATGCCCCCTGGAGGATAAAATGTAAAACAGGCTTGAGTAAATAATTTTATTAAGCTTTTTCCCAAGCCCTAAATTCAGATGACCAGAAACAATATGGAGTGGCCAACTTAAGGTTTACATTTAATTTATGCCTATTTAGAATGCAGCCTACTCTCAGCCCTGGAGAACTTTCAAATAAACATTATTATAATGCTTCCATGACTGGTTTGTTTCTAAGCATGCACCTTTCTCAACCCCGGGACTATACTAAAATCTAAATTGGATCATAAACAACTAAAGAGGCCCTGGATTGGAAAGAGGGATCTGGGCTAATTTATGGTCACTGTTATCACTAGGTCTTTAACTTATATTTCTGGAAGTACAAAACAGGATGAGTTCATTAGTTATTTGCTTTGTATAAAAAAGGAAAAAAAAATCCATTTTCATTTTGTTCTTTGTAATAAAACAAAAACATCAGATTGAAGGCTTTGGCTGCACTAAGCTGACCTGACAGGGCTGAGGAAGAAAGACGTTTTAGATCTGAACTAAACAGAGCTTTCTAAATCAAAAGTGTAAATAGTAAAAAAAAAAAAAGCTCATGGTTCTAATTCTATTTTTTGACTTCAGGACTCCCTTGGTCTTAATTACTTTAACCTGTTATTTGTTTTGCTTTTAAAGTAAAGTGAAACAGTAATGTTGAATTC